AATAATAATAATAATAATAATAATAATAATAATAATTATTATTATTATTATTATTATTATTATTATTATTATTATTTTAAAGGGACTAAAGTGGAAGGATTTGTTTTTATTTGGATATCAGCAAGGAAGCTAATGATCAAGCCAGCTGAAAAATATAGATGATGTCAGGGTGGTGGAAAAGTTACCAAGGGTTGACCATTTCTTTTCTTTATGTTCCTTCTTAGGGAGGGCAAAAAAGGTGCTGAAAACATACAGCTCTTCCAAATTCTCATTGTGCAGTTCACAGAATGCCAGTTCATTGCCACCGCCTCCTCCTGTTCCACCCGGTTTTCAAGCTCTCCAAGATTCCAGCACCAAGCAAGAGTAAGATGGGATTTGAATGTTTGGGTTTGTTTCTCTTAATCTCAGGGTCGCTTTCTGCAACTCTCTTTCTACCTAGTTCAGAAGGCTAGGAGGATGTGAGCCTCAGAGGCATTGGATTATCTCCACACTCAGACTGAAGCAGTGTAGAAATCATAGCAATCAATAAATACTCTGAGAAAGCATCCTGGATATTATGGATTGCATTTTTTAAACCAGGTACCAAAATTAATTTTTTTAAAAAAATCTCAAGTTCAATCAAGAAGGCATCATTTTTTTGGAAACACTTTTCCCCCCAGTCAGTTAGACCTCGCAACTGGTGACCCAATACTTCAACTCTGTGGTTTTGCTCTTGATACTTGGAAGAAGCTCAGGTCAGAGCAGGTCAAGATGGTGGCTGGCTTGCAACCACCATAGAACAGGACTGAGCCATCATGCCTGAGGATTTCTCCACTTCTCATCTACCTTTTGATGGAGAGCCACCCTGCAGCAATCTCAGAGTTCACGCCATGCTGACTCATCTTCTGGTTGTGCCAGATGCTAGAATAAATTGCCTCTTATTTCCTTTAGCACCAAGTTGGCAAATCTACATACTTTGCATATTATTCACAGGCACCCATATGATGGATCATCAGGGTAGCAGGAGCAAATGTGGATGGGAAATGAATTCCAACGATCCTGTCTCCCTATTTTGCACTTAAAAAGCTACCAGTCATGGGATGAATCCATGCCTTGCTAGAAGGGAGCATTCCTCATTGAACAGGGCAGGCCTCTGTACAAGTGCCCAGCTATTTAAGTAAATGGGCAATCATCATTCCAGGAAAGTAAATCAATCCATTAGTGAAATATCAGCTGACTCCGTCCTTTTTGCTGCCCCTTTGAATCCCACATTTATGACAAGAAAACATTGTCCTTGGATCTTGCATGAAATAATTTTGGTGTCATTTTAAATTTATGGGCAATTACACAATAGTTGACTGCTCTATTGCAAATTCATTTGGTTGCAAAGGAGACCAGGGTAGGATCTGAGTAACAGGACTGGCTAAGGTATGTTTCCTGTGCTTTCTCCTATCTTTGACATCAGGCTCATGTTCACATCACATGCTTTGCTTTCTGGTCCTGCAGAAGGAAAGGGTGGTAAGTGTAACAAGCCAAGAAAATGAAAGCTTTTCCCCCAGTTCCAATGATCCCCAGACTACAGATATACATAAATAAGAGAAAAAGAAAGAGATCTCATTGCACATAAAATATGTGCCCCTTTTGTTCAGCAGGCAAAACTTGTTTACTTGCCAAAGGGGCTGCTTGAGCATGGAGCTAAACTCTGGAGCCCATGGGTGAGTCTCAATCCCCAGACATTTGATTAGGGTTGTATAGGTTAAACAGAATAAGCCTCCATGATCCAACATCTTGCTTCTCTCTTACACTCCCCATTTACAAGGCGTGACAGTCTGTCTTACATGTGTAAATTCTGGGAAGGTCATTTCTCCCTCCCAGTGATGGATTTAGATTGATTTCCAGGTGAATGTTTAATCCCAAATGGGGCAATCAAGATTCATCGTGCTACACTAGTCTATAAATTGGAGACCAGCTGGATTGAAAACATCTTCTACTAGCAAGCCTTGTGGGGGTCTTCATCTTCTCCTGCTTAAGTTCATATGGAAAACAATGTATGGTTAAGCAAGAGATTTTAGTGTCTCTGGCATTTGTTAATTGCTTGCATCAAGTAGACATTGTTTGATTCAGCAGGATTTTTTTTTTTTTAGTGAAATAAGCAAAATAGGTGTGGGAAGTCTCCACTAGATTTAATTTTTTAAAATCTTATTTATTTATTTAGCATATTTACACAGCCGCCCATCTCACAAACATGGGACTCCGGGCTGCGTACCATACAACAACTGTTAAAAACTCCATAGCCATCTAAAAACAATAAAAAATATATAAAATCAACAGATAAAGTAAACAGATAAAACCCAAGAAAGCAGGAGGACAAGCATCACTTAATCTCATACAGCCACCTTGCAGGCTCTGAATACAATTCCTTTTAAAAGAGAACAATCCAGAATGTAGGCCATACTCTCTCTTTTGATCTCCACGGTCCCTGACAAGTTCACTGCAGTCTTTGAGGCCAAAAATGTCTTTTGGCAGAAGCACAGCCATCGTCTGCAAGAGGTTTGCCTGCCCTGCTTAAACCAGATCAATATTCACAACACAATTTAAGTCTCTTTTCCTATTTCCCCCTTCTTCCTTCTCTCTCCCCATTTTTGAGCTCAATTTTAATCCCCCTGCAACAAAACTGGACCCATTCGAATCAATCATGAGAGTTATTGTGCTGATAAACCAATGGAGAAATGGACAGAGTCCTGACCATAATTTATTTTCATCACTCAGTGAGTTGAAAAGAATAAAACTCCTTTTGCCTGTCTGCCTTGAACTGTGGTTGTGACAAAAGCAACTTTTATCTGACTTTGGCTGGTCTTTAAAAAGCTAATCTGAAGGACCAGGAAGTCCCAGGACTGGCAAAGAGAAGAAAATGACATGGGCATATTCATGCAATTACCAAGAGTCCAAGTCAACTCATAGGAGACTTCATCTACTGTACTTTTGACTGCAACACATAGGCTGTTAAGGTGATTGAATGATAGGATTTTCTTTTTTTTACTTCCTCCTACTCAAGAGCATATCATCTTAGGGGTTTGGGGAGTGGTGGAAATAAGAACCTAAAGGCTATGTTTCTAATATACAGAAAGAGTACACGAACAGAAGCATCACAGACCATTTTGATTGCTCTTGCTCAAGTGTGTGGCCTTAGAAGTGAACATACTGCTGCATCTTAGCGACCTCTGGTTCCCTGACAATGTGGCATTTTGTGGCAGAGAGGAAATGCAGTTACTTAATTTTATTTATTGATTTAAAAATCTTTCTAAGTCACTTATGGTTAAAATAAATCCTTTGTGATGTACCCAGTAAAAACATAAAGCATGAGTTAAGCAATTATATAAAATCCAATACAAGCATTCATATAATGATGCTACATTCAAGACAGCAACACATAGTCAGGGAAAGACTTGGGCAAAGAAAGATGTCTTAAGGAAGAAGCAGTCCCGTTTTTATTTTCGCTAAGAATTGTTTTGTTGAGTGGGTGTCTGTGTGATGTCCAGTGGAAAGTAGGTGGGCAACTGTAGCTGAAATTTGAAAGGGTGTTGTGTGGTTTCATGTAGCTAAATGGTATATTTGTTTAGTTTGTTTGAACAAATAGATGACTTCTAGATAATAACAGCTTCCCAATTGTGTCTATGCTGCCTGTAGGATCTTCGCTATCTCTGGCAATCATTTTGGGAGCTAGCAAGATGCTGTCTTTAAGCTCCAGAATCCATTGCTAACAATATCAGTGTGAAATGCACCCTTAATTTGCCCCATCCAAGGATTGCATATCAAAAAGTATCATTTTAAGTTCTTTCTGGTGCACAGTAGCAACACCTGGAACCTTTTATCAGACGCTGAACTATGACACTTCACACAAGAATGCTATTTTTAAGGTGTTTGTTTAAAGTGGCAGGCACAATGTATTGACATGTAAGGTACAAAGGTGGTTGCTAACTGGAGGTGCTGTCTGGGGGCGGTGGGAGGTAAAGAGAAGGTCTGAGAGATAGCTTTGCAAGTGAAGACATAACCCCTGAGGTAGAAATAGGTGTGCTTCAGGTTTTGAAATCACTCAAAGCTTCTGGCAGACTTGTCAAAGAGAGACCTTCAGTTCAGGAAGTCTGCTAGGAATATGGAACTGTGCCAGGAGGTGAGAATGGCAGGCTGGGTTCACTGTCAGGCGGTTGCTACCTAGTTTGATCTGCTGGGGACCGGAAAAGAGGAGGGAAGACTTTGCACATTTCCAAGCTGCTGATACTGCTGGCATGGAATCAGGGCAGGCAAATGGAACGCTTGGGCCCCAAGAGCATCTCTCTTGGGGCTTCCCAGGTTCCATACCCCACTTGACTTTTTCTGTTTAATTTAGTTTTTTTTTTTCATTTTTAAAAAAATAGATAATGACATGGGAAACTGGCATGTTGCAACACAGAGGGCTAGCCTCCAACATTGTTCTCATTTCCAAGAATGGTCTTGGGCCCCTTGCTGGATTTATAGAAAACAAAACTGATGGAAATGACAGCCCAGGTCTTTATCTGCAAATCTCTTTACTTGCCCAGCAAAAAAGAGAAGATTAAGTTATGTGGGGAGTCAGGAAGATCTTTCAGGGAGCTGGAAAGAAGTATTGGGCACCATCCTAACCAGTCAGCCCCCTGGTACATGGGTCTTTCCTAACTGGCCATGTTCACCATTGCAAGCCCACTCATGGTAGCCATTTTGTGAAAGTGTTTACAATACGCTGCCCACGTTCCAGTTGTATCCACCAAATAGCAATTGCTGGGGAAGGGAATTGATCTTTTTCATGGGCTTTTTCAGGTATTGAAACCAGAGGACTGTGATTAGGAAGTCAAAGCTAGCAATACTGTTTTTGTTCCCCCAAGACTCAGATGCTTGTAAGTGAGTGGACTTGATCAGTGCAAGGAGTCTGGACTTCAAGACTTCAAATCAGCCTTCCCTGGTACCCCCCAGTTATGTAATGAAGACCACAAATCCCATGATTCTCAGTCATGTGCACCAAGACATGCATGTACATTCCTCAAAACAAAATTAGCTCGAAGCATAGAGAAACAGGCTGCTTTCTCATATCTTGAGTAGCCTTTTAGCCGTGTTTTTTTAAAAAAGAGAAATTCTTTGCTGCCTATCTGTGGTTGTTGCCTGTTTCCCAGGTGCACCTGTACCTGCTACCTTGATCCCCCACTGGACTTCATGCATCAACAGCTGGATGAGGGTTCTCTGAAGACAGTCAAAGAGTCTCTGGATGAAAACCAACCCTTCCCCACATTGCCTTACAACCAGCTTTCTACAAGCTCAATCCCTGTATCGCTCAGTGATGACCAGGAGACAGTTCTAACCCCAGAAGAGGTGGC